TTAGGGGTTTACAGTTTAGGGTTTTCCAAAATGAGGGGTACCATTTGGGGGGTCCCAACAACAAGGACTGCAGTATGTTGGGGTCTATATTGGGGTGTCACTCTTTTGGGAAACTACCATATTAAACGCCCTCATCCCCTACTACTGGATATTCCTAGTACACTATAGTATACAACGATGTGAATATTTAAAACTAGGGGGGGTAATATCAGGCGGAGGAGAGTACTCGAAGGTAACATGCAGGCAAAAAGGAAGGCCATGAAGATTCTGTTCCATTACCAAAAGGGCCTAGCTGAGCTTCCATGTTGCTTTGGGGGGAGGGTAAAAGGGTTTGAACCTAAGGCTCAGGATTAGGATTGGGCGATTGGGTGTTTCGGAATGTCCACAGAGGACTCAGGGTTTTGTGCTTTGGATTTGAGAGCTGAAGTCTCTGGAGTTGAGGGCACTTCTCAATGGATCAGGACCCCATGAGGGCGCAATGATTCTCACAAACAGGGTTTGGGGTTCAGGGTTCAGGGTTTAGTGTTTAGGGCATAGGGATGAGAAGAAGAGTCGAGGTGAGAGTTATTTTTCCAGACGTGGCAGCCCCGCTCATTCTCGGGAATGGGCTACAGGAACGTTATGGGCTATGGGCATTAGGTGCACATGTAGGCAATGATAAGGATCATTCCCCGACTACGCCCGGAAAACCAACAAAGACGTAAACATCCACAACGCTACATGAGCTATAGTCTAAACTCCTAGTATCCCTGTATTATAACCCTTAAAATAGTCCCCAAAACCCTAGACCCTAAACCCCCTTTAAGGAGTTTAGACTATAGCCCACATGCTTTAAACTAAGTCTTGGCAGCCAAATCGGTTTTCTCAATAGACGGATTCTTCCTGTATGAGCTATACTCTGATGAACTCCTTGAAGGGGGTTTAGGGTTTAGGGTTTAGGGGGTTATATAGGTGATTCTATAAAAAGACTACAAAGGGGACATTCAAGGGAGATAAGAGGAGTTTAGACTATAGCTCAGCTACTCGGCAAATTACAACGACGTCATCCGACCTCACCTTACAAGGTAAGGAAGGTGTCGCACATCGGCTTAGCTTAACTTTCCTGTTCTCCAGCTTTGTACGACGTGAAGGTTTGCAGAATGACTTCACCTTCTGAAATTGAAACATGGCCGGTACGTATCCCCGAATACCAAGATTCTCGTGGAAGCATTCACTGAACTCTTCTGTCTACGCATGCTACCTCAACATGAAAGGGACCCTGCCCCCCAGTTTTTGAAGACCGTAAACCCTAAAGTCCTGAAGTTCTAAACCCTAAATCCTAAGCCATGAACCCTAAAACCTAAATCCTAAACCCTACACCCTTAACCCTAAAACTGAAACCCAAATATTGCCAGGTGACTGTCTCCGACAAGGCAACCTTCGAGGTCCTAAGCCGGATTAGGGCTAAACCCTAGTGTTGGAAAATAGAATGGAAACTACTATTTAGCGTTTAGGGGTTTAGAGTTTAACATGGTTAATAAACTCCCCCTGTTAAGAGGCCTTCATATTAGGATCCCTATTGAGAGGGGGAGGGGGTTCATGAATCAGGGGTCTACATTCTATACCCTCTAATCCCTATATAGCCCCTATAGCCCGATAGAGTAGTTTCCATATTCTTTTCCATTATCCCTATAATGAATCATGGGTCTCGGTTATTATCCCTAAGCTCTGAATCCTACACCCTAAACCCTAAACCCTAAACCCCTAAACCCTAAACCCTAAACTCGAAACCCTAAACAGCGTCCAGGATGCTACGTTGAGGTTGCAGGGTTCTAGTGTTACGGTCCAGGTTTAGAGGTTTAGGCTTCAGGGGTAAGGGTTCAGGGTATAGGGTTTGGGGTTTAGGGTTTGGGGCTTAGGGTCTAGGGTTTAGGGTTTAGAGTTTAGGGTTTAGGGTTTTGAAGCAGTGGTTTCGAGAGTAGGGTCTCTGGATCAGGATTTTACGATTTATGGGTGAGATAGTCGCGTTTAGTATTCCTAGCTCACGTGCAACTGTCATAAAGTGTCTAGCGGGCTTTCAGCGGAGGGCTTCGCGGAAAAGGTTGATGGTCTTCTTAGCGTAGATAAGTCACAGTTTTGGGTATGGGAAATGGGGCTAGGGCACTATGGTATACCTTCCTCAACACCAACATGGAGTCTCAAGTAGGGCCATATAAAGATGGTTGTCATTACATGAGGGCTTGCTCCTACAATTCCTATGCAAGCCTGTCTCCATTTGCTTTCAGTATAGCCCCATGTCCTGCGCCCTGAGGGATCAATATGATCAGCAGCCTGAAAGAAAGGACGACTGCAAGTGCTGGTCCCACGGAATGGAACCTTTGTATGGTAGTTTCCATGGACTGGCTGAGCCCAAAATAGATCACTATCATCTTTTCTACTATAGTGACTCCCATTGAGGCCCCTGATTGCCTTGCGAGGAACCTGCAGGGAGCTCCCGTTTAGAAGGACAATAGTCTTCCTCGGACCGTTTTGAGGTTCCATTGATTTTTGGGAGGTAGACTCCGGGGTTTTGAGTTCAGCCTGTCGGACACAGCGCGCCCGAGGGCCGAGTTTAGGGTTTAGGGTGAAGGGTTTGGGGTTTTAATGGCACATAAACGCATTAAACATGTGGCGAACTTGTCCATGCGTTTTGGAAATCGAAAATGCAGAATGTCTTCCTAGCATGCTTCTTGCTCAATTTTGTTAGGACATGCGTCCAAGCCCTGAGTCCACTAGCTTATCTGATGGTGTTGGCCTTTTCATCAAGAATCCTTGTACGCATTGGTGAGTGGCCATACAGTGTGCAGGGGCCGGGCTAAGAAGTAAGGTCTGCAGGGCAAACATGGGGCTTTCCCCACAGAGGGGCCCCTTTTTTGAGGATACCCAGAATGAGGGTCATAATATGTTGGGATCTAGTGGCCCCTGTACGTACAAAGTCCCCACATTGTGAGATGACAAAGATGGACAAAGATGACCCAGAATCAGATGGAAGTCAATCAGGGTTTAGGATTTGGGGCATAAAGCCGGCGTAGGTTGCAGGGTACTCAGGAAATGCAACTAGACATACAGCATCTGGACAGCACCCTATGTAGCTTATGCAGAAGTAGGATTAAAGAACTCTAAATCCCGCAAACCCTAAGCATCTGCTGGGACCTTTGGAAGTTTGCTCCTGGCTTTGGTGCCAAATGGCACCAGAAATGTAGGCGGCGAAACTGCCGCCCACCGAATTGTTTCGAGAGTTCACTGGTCATGGGGAACGTTAGCTAGCGGATGGAGGATTCTACCTGAACATGGTTGCATTAAGCTTCACACAAACAGATGCATGCTGCGAACCTCAGTTGCTCCAGGACTTTCTCTCACCCCTGTGACCTTGCCTGACTGCATAGTAGGAAAGAAACAAGAAACACTCAGCAAGAGACAAGTACGAGAGTGAGCTCGTGCGGCTAGTGAGATGAGATTTTCTGTCCCTTCAAAGGGGTTATATGGGGGTTTCCCAAAATTAGGGCTACCCTTTTGGGGGTCCCTATAGTAAGGACTATAGTATTTTGGGGTCTATATTGGGGTCCCCTTATTCAGGGAAACTACCATATAGGGAGACATCTGGATTTATAGGGGTTCTGTATAGTGATGCTTCGACTTGTTCGCTCCGGCTTGATAGTCGCATGTAGGATCCAAGCCTCTAACCCCTAAACCGTGAACCCCTTAAAGCCCGGTCCTTTCCTCGGCTACAGGTCAGACGCTGTTTTTCTGATGAATTGCGAGCATCCATTGGTTATTGTCAGTGTAGGTTCAAGATGAAGGTTCTTTGGGCCATGAGACAGCCCACGTGTTTAGAGTTTAGGGTTTAGGGCTTTAATCATAAGCCCTAAACCCTAAAAAACCCTTAGGCGTACCCACCACTTTGGAGCTTGTTGCTTGCTGACTGCAAGGTTTCTGGTCAAGTTCTTGCAGATGTGGGACATTTCTCAAACAAGCCCCGTAGAATCCCCCAGAAGGAAGCCTGAAATTCGATCATAGATAATATGTTAGGGTATTATCCCCCTATAACGGAGAATCACATGTAAAAGGGATGGGCAACGAAATGGGCACCAGGTTTATATAAATGGTTTTTAGGAATTAGGGTTGGCAATATACCTCCCAAGGGCAGCCTACTCCCAGAAATTGGCACCTCACAAATCTCCAACCTCGCAAGCACTTCATTCTTGGGAACCCCGCATATCCCAATATATCCCAATGCATCCCTATATAACCCCCACATATCCCCAAATAGCCTTTTGAAGGGACTCCTACGGTAAAAAACTTGCTTGCCATGCTTCTTTGAGGGCCGCGCCCTTCAGCAGGCGGGCTGTGGAGTTTAGGGTTCAGAGGTTTGGCATTTAGAGTCTGGACCACTGGAGGCTCGGATGCAGGGTTTGAACAGGGTATGGGACGTCGAATTCAAGGCTAAGAGTTGTGGTTCAAGGTTTCGATTTTATGGTTTGGGATTGTGGTTCAACGCTGAGGGCTAAGGTTTCCTATCAGTCCTTCAAGCTTTTCGGGCCGGGTAACGTGAAGCCTAATCTAAGCTGAAAGGTTAACTTTGGGAAGACCTCTAGATACTGGACACCAAGGATTCACGGTTTATAGCCACCCTAAACCCTCAACCCTAAACTAACCCTTACAGTGGAACCCAGAGTTCGGCAGGTTGTGTAGTCGGCTGCCAAGAATACTTGGAGGTTCCTGATTAGTTGAAGATGCTTTCCGTAGGAGAATTATCACATTATCC